TCGATTCCCGATAGGGAATGTAGGTCGAACAGCAGGGTTTGATGCCCTCCTTTCGCATGGCCGATAAACGAGCCAGATGCAAATTAACCTGGACCAACGGCTGTTCCCCGTGAATTTACTTATCAGCCCGTTTTAGTTGAAACGCACGATTCCATCCACTACTAGCGATCCTCCGTTTTATTTCCGACGCGGTGTCAACCCCTTCGCATTCGAGAAAGTTCTTTTAGTCAATGCTGTGTGGTTCGTCAGGCGAGATATGCTTTCTGCAGGGTAATTCATCCGTTATCTCAAGTTCGATAAATCAGAGTTATTCACAACCCTTTGCCTTTGTCTGAGATAATACGCAAGAGACTGGTAAAACGAAATGTTAAATTTTTCAAGATAAATACGTACAATACTTGTCTTAAGATTCTTGAGCAAAAATGTATACAATATAGAATTACTGTATTACTAAATGTAGGTTGATTTAGCCCATAAATTTGCACTTTATTACAAAACTACGCGATGTCTTATAAATTGACTTTCATTCGAGATATCTCGGTATATTCCTCTTCTAATAAGAAGCGATATTTTGCCGAAAGTGTGATCAGATATTTGGTTAAATAAAGGACTTGAATCATCCTAGGGTAAATGTAAGCAATTTCAAGAGATTTCTCAAGGAATCACAGACAATCGAATGTCGATGGTTTCAGTCGAGTCCCAGAAAGATTATCACGCGAGGAGGAAACATCATCATTACACGAGGACCACGACGACGACTGTCTCGTCGACGCCCAAGTCACCGGTTAGCACGACGACGGTCACCGTGGTCGAACAAGTGGAGGATAATAAAATACCGGAAGTGACGAGATGGACGACTACAGAACCTACGGAAACTTGGGAAATCACCACCATCAGCAGTACCACCATAAGTACCACTCCTAGCACTACCACTACCACCACTACTCCACCTCGTAAGTGCCGATCTTCCCACAATAATACTGTAATCTCCCCTGGCTCGAAACTTTGTCTACTTTCGAAATTGTAAACGACTTCGTTTATAAATCGGAAAGAGAATTTGACGGTGAACAAATTACGTTCACGCTTCTACATTCCTAGCGGATTAACTGGTATCATTGGATTGTTTAATTTCGGCTGGAATCGGTTGATTTTGAAATTTTTTTCGTTTAATTCAATTCTCACGAAGAATGACAGAAATTGAAATAGTCAGAATTTTAGTCATGTAATTTCAACGTAAATTGCTATAGTCACTTGTACACAATCACACTTTTTAAAAGTTAAATTAATTGAATCTGAATATTATAATTTGTCGTACTAATCCCTAACTAAGAGAGATGATAAAATACGAAGATGATAAAATACGAAAATTAAATGTCTTAATTTCTATTAATTTAATGCAAATTATAATACTATCATATATCATCTGTTTACGCTACTTGATTTTTCGCAGTTTTTAATCCGACTGAATTTTCTCGCTCGAATCTCTATCGCGAGCAACATAGCACACGAAAACGAAAATGAAATACTCCGAAATACTCTACAGTGATCTGAACATAAATTATTCGATCGAGGATTGAATGGAACGCGGTTAGTAAAACAGAGGAGGAAATTACTCGCGCGAGGTTTGACAAATCGATAGAAAGTGTATTGAAATCTCCGGGAATAAGAGGGAAAAAGGGCGATGCGTGGGCGCGGTATTTCTCGAATGGGAAACGCGCAGCTCCTTTGATCGTCTCGAACCGGACGAGAAAGATTCTGCTCGGGACACACACACGCGAGGAATTTTCGTTTCACCGCCGCGAGTGCCCGTGCGTCGAATGTTACAAAGCGAATCGAAGGGTTGCGAACGGCGGGAGGGTGGGAGGCTTGAAACAGGCTAAAAGAAAGATTCGAAACCGGGCGAGACGGTGGTTGGGGGCCAGTATTCAGACTGACGAAGAGGGTGGGCAGAGAGAGAGAGAGAGAGAGAGAGAGGGAAACTGAGAAAAGGAGACAGGAAAACAGTTTGCCGGGAAACGTGTGGCACACGTTCTGTACGTTCGTCTTTTTATAGGCTTCTGTGTGGTTCAAAGGCCGAAGCAAAGTCACCAATACATAAGGGAGGGCGAAGGCAAGAGGGTGAGTGTTCGACAATCTGCAAAGTATTTTCGCGAGCGACCGGGCGAAAAGCGTTCCCTGGTTGGCAGATCCGAGAGGAACGCACGCCAGAAAATCGAATCGAATCGTCCAGGAAGATCAGAGCAAATGAAAAATCTCGCCGGTGGGATTTGCGTTTTTCTTTTTTTTTTTTTTTTTTTTTTTTTTATGTATTCAAGATTGACGGATTTTGAAGAGACTGTTCCGATATGGTTGATGTTCTCCCACTTATGACGAAATTAATCTAGCAACTAGAGAGAGGTGTTGAAGTAAAATAAGGGTAGTTTAACGTGATTTCTGTCGAGAAAATTTCATAACGCATGTGCATGAAATTTCCTCGTGTCATTGGCACAGATTTATAACGTTATAGTAGATTCCTTTTTATTCACTCTTGCTTTAATCGGTCAAAGGTTGCTACAGGAATAGATTGTGATTTTTCTCTGTAGTAAATAATGGACTTGAATAATTTATTGCTGTCAGTAATATCAGACACTAGCTGTGCTATGCAACATTCCTCACTTGTTATTAATTTTCGTTCAATAAATATTATTTCTTTATGACTTATTATACGATATTTTAACCTGATTTAATTTATTTATGGGCAATAGCCCTTTCATAATACGTAATAAAATTAAATTATAAATTAAAATATACATATAAATATAGTATCGTACGATGTTTTCTTTGAACAGGATAATATTGAAGAATTTACAGCTTACAAATGATATAATTGATTCGTTCATTTAAACTGATGCCTACTGTATCTTTATAAAATACAAAGTATACTTATAGCATAATCATTTTTTATGCGATATCCAAAACAACCAACTTTATTCTGTGATCAACCTCACTGAATGACATTTTCAGTCGTGATGTAAGAATTAAACAGTAACGTAGCTCTCAGTCAACGAAACAAACGTTTTACCTTCAACTGCAGAACAGAGATATATTAAACAACACAACGAGGCTGCGTCTTCAGACTCGGACGTACTAAAAATTTCAACCACACGCGAATGCAAAAGTTCGAACGTGCTTCTAGTCGCTCGCATAAATAATTGGTCCACGTCTCGTTCAGCTTTTTTTCCGCCGTTAGTGTGCTTATTAAAAGCAAAGCTGCGTCGCTAGTGCCTATTGTGTTCGACACATCGGTAATTTTAATCGCGTGCGCGACAACGTTAACGCAAAATTGAAAGTTCGCTGTTCTCAGGGACGCTTAGATAGAACGCGAGGCAGAGCTTTTAATTGGCGCGAAAATAAAGAAACACGCCGATAAAAATAACAAACAGGCATTTAATGAAGGCGTCTAAATGCGCAACGTTAAAAAACATGTTTCGGCCGAATCGCCGAATCACAGTGAAAAAATGAAGGTTTCTATTTATTCGTTTCCTTTGTTTTCTTTTTTTCTTTTTTCCTTTCGCCACGCATGAATCGAGATATTGTCGTGAATTAACAACATACAGCGGAAACGTGAAGTGAGGAAGTTTAATCTCAAGCGCCGCGGCTAACGTCGATGTTATAATTATATAATATTCAACGTGTACGCGTTTTCGAGCCGGGCCATTCATCTTTGAAACGGAACATGCTGATTGTAGTTATCGATTTCGTAATAGCGACAATAACGCGCGAACTGAACGGATTTAAAAACCCTTTTTTAAATGTTGGAAATTCAGTGTTTCAGAAGCCAAACTGCGAGTTTATTCGTTACAAGTAGATTACACGAATATCGAAAAAAAAAGATTAACAATACTGTTCTCTTTTCGTCGCGTTTGTCTTTCTCTTTCATTTAGAAAAATAATATCGTCGAATAAATTAAAGACTGTAAAATTATATCGAGAATTAAACCAGATGTTCAAGAACCATGTATATTTTATATCATCATTTATTGAAATATCATCTGTAGGAGGAGATTTCCACCAACAATAGTCACGTTTCTCTATTTCTCGATGAAAATTGATCAACGTTTTGAAAGTCGTTCAATCTTCGTCACTGAAAATAATTCCGATCGCATCTCTTTTATACATCTTCCTGGACGTTGACCGTTTCTCCCGTTTAAACAAAGAAGCGGGCCGTAGCCAAATCGATTGGACGCAGCTCGCCCAGCTACTCGTCTCTCTCTCGTAGAAGATTTAGACGAAAGGTACGCTCTTTGAGCTGCGAACCAACCAGCCGTATATACTTGATTCGTACAGTTGTACCGCGAGGACGAGCCGGAATGCTCGGAGCTGTGCCAGTGCGGCGAGGGTGAAGTTTTGATCTGCAACACGATCTGCGTGGACTCGTCGCCCTGCAAGACGGACTTTGCCTTCTACAATCACGAGGCACCGGCGTATCAGGCGCATCGCGGGCCCTGCCTTTGCTACAGCGGCCGTTTCATATGCATGCGGCCCTCGCCCGGTGAATATAACATGCCAGCCTTTTGAATATAATCCGATCCAGACGATCACGCGAACGAAATAAAGTCCAAATATTTTTCGACCGGGTTTAATTGGAAACCCAGTTTCAACGTTTACGTTACGAGGATGATCTGCTTAATTACTATTTGCTATTACCTAATTAACGATTCATTTGGTCAACAGTGTATGCATTATTATTTTGTTCTGTTATTATTGGGGCAACATCTGTGAATTGGGGCAAGTTTTACTAATACTTCTCCAATAGTCCTGATATTTTTTCCATACAGATTTAATTAGGGTAACATTTGGTCCCAGTGTTAAGCGTTAGCTCGGATAATAAATTCGTTGAACAAGAGTCAGTCATATTGCACTTTGCACGTGTATGATTTATTCAATCAACGATGAAGATGCACCGTTTTGTTCTATTATTCTTCGCAACGTGGATTTTTATTTGCTCTTCCACCGTACATGAAAGGCGACTTTGTGCGACTTTTACGTCTATATTTTGTGTTCTTCAAAGAAATATAACATCGAAACGCGAACGAACTCGCGATTTAATATTTTATCGTCGTCGACGTGATGTAATAATCTCTTTGAATAATTTGTCCGTACAGACGCTTACTCTATACCGCACGGAGTTTTCATGTTCCTGGGCTACAGCGAAAAGGACGAGAGCTTATTACGACGCCACAATAACCTCACCGTCCTGGACGCAGTGTCGTCCCTCGATAACTTCATGAGAGAAGAAGTTAATAATCAGGTAGAACATTATTCACTGTACTGTACTCTTACGCCGCCGTAAGTTCTTCTGTCCTCCTCGTAATAATAATCAAAATTAAGTATAATCTCAGCCTCAAGTGGACCCACTGCTGTTCTATTCGATTTTAAATTAAACTGTACCGATTTTAAATGAAATTAAATTGTACCGCTGTCTATCAATCGGGTTTCTCTCGATCTTAGTTGACAATTAAGTGGAACAGCTAAGCGTGTTGTCAGCCGTTCTTCCACGTCGCGTGCGTTGACCCACTCCCCTTCGTTCCATCTTCCCCCAAGAAGATCAAAATTCCATCGCGTTTCGCACGAACCGAGGGATCTGTTTCAAACTCCTCAGGCTTCAGACTGAATGGCAGAGCCGAACGAATTTTAAGCCGAAACGGCGGCGCTCTCTCGACCGTGAGGTATTCACGCGTTGTGGAACGAGAAAAATCTCGAGAGGCGGCAGCAGAGACGGATCGGGAATATAAAGCGAACACGGCTGGGCGAAACTTAATAATGCGAGATAGCGTTGGATGACGTCGGAGACACATCCAACGCTCCATCCCACCTCCTCCCCCCCCC